CTGCTGGGCACTGTTGTGCAGGCCCGGCTCCAGAATCAAATCACTGAGGGTGCTTCTTAAATTAGTGAGGGTGCTGTATATATATGTATATATATATATATATATATATATGTATTTGCGTTATTTGCACCATAACAATACACAAATAATATATTATTTGTGTATTGTTATGGCGCAAATAACGCTTCCTTTATAATCACTCGCGATCTCACAAAGTTACCTGATAATCAATTAAATTCTCTACGCTGCACAATGACTCTCTTATTTACACCGCATCTAGTTATAATGAAATCATTCGTACTGAACAGAACACCTGAACAAAAACAGCGATTTGAGCAGTGAGGGGATTCTAACTTAAAAGGTCATTCTAACTGATCCGCTGTTGCATTCAAGAAATAAGCATATATGTCTGTAATTAGCTACATTGCTCAACGCTGCAAATAAATAGAAACCGATCTCCCAGAGCGCAAACCATAACGCACGAGATAGTTTGCCAACTCTGCAATGAAATGCCATTATTACAGCTTTAACTGAGAGTGCTATTGATTTCGTTTGAGGGTGCTCAGCACCCTCTAGCACCCCCGTAGAACCGGGCCTGGATCATGGCCTTTAATGCTCTAGCAAAATTCATGCACTTAATAATACAATACAGTGAACACGATCACAAAGGTGTTTACTGAATTCTAAACATATGTGTGAATGACCTGAATGAAGTATATTACAAATCAGGCCCTGCTCCCACTGAATGAGCCAGAGATGACTCTGTCACATCCAATCTATAATATCTAACAAATGTGTGCAGTGATGCCCAACTCGCCGCAGCACAAATGTCTTGAATAGAAACTCCCTTGAACAGTGCCCAGGAAGTGGCCATTCCTCTCGTGGAGTGGGCGCGAAGTCCAGGTGGAGGTAGTAAATTAGTGTCTTTGTAACACATTACAATCGCATCTACCACCCAGTGAGAAAGCCGCTGACATGAAATAGGTCTCCCCCTATAATTGTCAGCCCAAGAGACAAAGAGCTGATTAGTCTTTCGTAACAGTCTCGTCTTCTGCACGTAAACATTTATAGAGCGTACCAGGCATAAACAGTGTAACCGCTCTTCCTCTGATGAAGAAAAAGGCGGTGGAAAGAACACTAACAACTCCACCGATCTGTTTGCTCCAGTTGTGTCCATGGCCTTAAAATCAAACGCCGGATTAATCTTAGCGTAACTTTCGATTCATCCGATGCAAACTGCATACAGGAAGGATGCACTGACAAAGTGCGTAATTCACTTACCCGCTTTGCTGTAGTGAGAGCGAGCAACAATGCCATCTTTAAAGAAAGATGCCGCAAATCCAAACCCTCTAATGCAGGGATCCTCAAATCTGGCCCACGAGATCCACTTTCCTGCAGAGTTTAGCTCTAACCCTAATCAAGCACACCTGAGCATGCTAATCAATGTCTTCAGGATCATTAAAAAAATCACAGGTAGGTGAGTTTGATCAGGGTTGGAGCTAAACTCTGCAGCGCACTGGTCCTCCAGGGCAAGATTTGAGGAACCCTGCTCAAAAAGAGGCTGCGAGAGCGTATCCAAAACCACTATTAAGTTCCAGGACGGGATCAGGGATTTAGTAACCGGACGCAACCGTCTCGCTTCCCTCATAAATCGACATATCAGGGGGTGCTGACTTATCGTTCCTGAATCCAGCCCCACATGACATGCAGAAATAGCTGAAAGATATATCATTACTGTCGAAAAGGCTCTACCTTTATCCAATAGTTCTTGCAGGAAGCAGAGAACATCCGATACGTTGCATAAGAACGAAATAATTCGTCTATCTGCACACCATCGCTCAAACACTCTCCATTTATGGCCATACAGAGAGCGTGTGTAGGCTGCCGTCGCACTTTGAATTGTGTCAATCACGTTCGAGGGTAACCCGATGGCATTTAAATTCATCCTCTCACGGGCCAAGCCCACAGAGCTATCTTGTGGGGTGCGGGATGAAATATCTCCCCGTTCGCCTGAGAAAGCAGGTCTCTGCGCAACGGGAGAGGCCAGAGTTGGTCGTAAAGTAGTGGAATTATTTCTGCTATCCACAGTTTCCCTGGCCAATACGGTGCAATCAGAATCAGCTAATGTCTGAACTCCCGTACTCTCTGCAGTGTCAGCCCGATGAGGCTCAGTGGGGGAAACGCGTACAACAATGCGCTTGGCCACGGGTGGGCTAGAGCATCCACACCCAACGGTGCATCTTCTCCCACTAAGAAAAAGAACAAAGGACACTGCTTGTTTTCGCGCGATGCGAAGAGATCTACGGCAGCCTGTCCGAATCTCTGCCACACCTGAATCACCACCTGTTGGTGAAGTGTCCATTCTCAGCAAAGGGGGTTTCCTCTGGACAAGAGATCTGCTCCCCTGTTCATTATTCCCGGCACGTGTGTTGTACGTAGTGACAGAAACCGAGTGCTGCTCCACACAATTAGTCTGTGGGCTAGACTGTGAAGTTGACGGGAGCGCAGGAAATATGTCTATATGGAAATAAGCGTCCTTGAGATCTATTGTAGTAAACCAATCTCCTTGACACACTGTTTGTGATAAAGTTCATAAGTTGAGCATTTTGAACTTGTGCTTTCTGAGGTGTTTGTTCAGGGCCCGCAAATCTAAAATAGGGCGGAGACCCCCACCTTTTTTGGGAATCACAAAGTACCGGGAGTAAAACCCCTGCCGGATCTCCTCTTGTGGCACCATTCTTATCACTCTTTTGCTCAAAAGAGAAGAGATTTCTTCCTCTAAAATCTGAGCTGATTCCCCCTGTGCTGTTGACATAACTCCATTGAAGCTCAGTGGTTTTACAGCGAATTGGAGTCTGTAACCTCTCTCTATTGTGGATAAAATCCATGGAGGTACTGCGCATGCGCGCCAGCTCTCTGCTCGTGCAGCGAGTGTGCTCCGCTCCCCTCCGCTCACTGTTGGTGCGGCGGTGCCCCTCAGTGGCGAAGAAGGGAATTTCAACTTCAGTGGGGAATTTTTTGGTTTCCTTTTCATCATTTTTGTTGTTGTGTTTATATCATTCCCCGCCCTTGGCCTGGAAGCGTGGGAGTTTCTTTTATTTTCACACCTTTTTTGCTTTTGTAAACATTCTCCTCTGCCCTCGACAGTAACCCTGTGGGTAGAGGGAGGGGAATAATCACAGGGGGCACTCCAGGAACTTGTGCCACTGTCCCTTTTATAATTGTGAATGAATCTGCTGAACTGGCCCTCAAAACGTCTGAACTGGGACCATTGAACAACTTGAACAACTTTCTTCGTTTCCCGGGAGGAGGAAGAAAAGTGTTGAACTCTGTGGGGGGTGGAGCAGAAAACCCCAGGTGCTGCTCTCTGTCCCCCTGTGGTAAACAGTCCTGATCCTAGGTAACTCGTCTCTTTTTGCTCCCTTGAGGGTTAGAAGGATGATACTTTGCTGCGGCCGCTTTTCCCTTTGCCTGAACCAGCCTAACCCCAGCTCCCCCATATCCTGAATGTCCAAGATGTGCAAAAACTTTAACGGGCACATGGTGGGAAAAAGGTTTGTCCCAGTGTCTTTTTATCTCCACCATACATGCCGGGACAGCTGGGATGAACTGTCTAACCGGCGCAAGGCGTGATGGCAATCTCTTACCATCGTAGAGATCCCTCTCTGCCCCTTGACCCACCTGCTGAGAGGGCCAGTCGATGGACAGTTTGGCCGCAACTCTGCGGCAAACTTCCATTAAGTCTAACTCCACAGCAGGGGAAGAGGGGAGGTCCCCACTCTGGTTACTTGGTGGACGCGATGAGTTAGGAGGGAGGATGGCATCCTCCTCTTCATCGTCATGTAGAAGATGGGGGGATAATTCCTCATCGTCTCTCCTGTCACACCCACAAGGGCATCACCAAAGAGGGGGGGCAGATCAGGAGCCTGCACATCAATAATATCACCCTAGTTACTAGGTTCTTGTGTCTGCTTAGCTGTCTCCTCTCTGGGCTGAGACTGAGAGGAGAAGCATGGGTCCTGGTTTCCTGCTATTGCCACCCGGAGTCTCCTTTCACAAGTTTTTACAGGAAAACCAGAACAAATAGAGCAGCCCGCTGGGTTAGATATGGCAGCTTGGGCATGCTTAACCCCTAAACAAGCTATACAAAGAGGATGTGAATCCTTAGCCGAAATCCAAAGAACACACAAGCACATGCGAGTGGGTGCATCTTTCCCCCCGTGCTCTCTGCCGTTCTAGCCGCGGCCATAACTCTCTTCACCCTCTTCATTAGGTAAACTCTCATCGTGACGTGTAGGTTTACCTCCCGGAGCAGTGGTATGCAGAGTTATTTTCTCTGAAATAAACTCCTCTTTCCCAGTATCCAATACGAACCGAATCGTATTCGATTGGAAAACAGGCTGTTTATTCGCGGGAATGGAAAAACTCGCCTTGATGCGGACGTTTTCCCACTCGCCACGAGAAAAAAAATACCCAGCTCACAGCAAGCACGACATCACCAGCCAGCTTCGTCCGTAAACTGTTGAAAGGTAAATCCAATAATGTGTCAGTTGAGTACAGCTTCCACAATCTTCACGGTGAAGAAAGCGAGAATGACGCAGCAGCGGGCTGCAGTGGGCTATATACCAGGGAGGCGGGACTCCCTGATCGTTGCCGCGATTGGTCTGTCAGTCTGACAGACATGGTGTATTTGGTGCTTCCGCAGTCGGTCACGCCGGAGGCGTTCCCCTTAGTGAGATACCGAACGGATGTTAGAAAGAGAACCATTTATGACCGATTCAGATTTTTACAATGAACACAGTAAATTTCTTACTCACCTGCACCAGTTTAACCAATACAGCATTTTTATAGGGTATGGGATTAATAAAGTGTGTTAGAAAATGAAAAATTGATAATCTAGACAGAATAAGTATTCATCTTGATCCTGTAAGGAACAGGACAACTATTACTGAGAATAGCATTTTTTTCAGAGAAAATATAACAGAACAATGGTAAAATAATAATATCTAACACATTTTTATTTCGGAGTAATGTGGTATGACAAGAATTGGGGCAATGGTTCAATATCACAGCACAAAAAGAAAAAGGTATGAAAGAAAAGACTGTATCCCCTATATGATAACATGATTGCAAAGGCATAACATGTACACAAATTTACAAGACTTCGTTAAAAAAACAATCAGTATGTATTTACTTAGGACCCAAGGATTTTTCTTCCATAGTGAAAAATGCTCATGAGTTTGAGCTGATGTCCAGCTAAAGCCAATAAGCCAACATTCAACTGTGCAGCTAGTAAGAATGTTATCACCACACATTGCACTCATCTTTAACATGAGGAATAAACAATTCAACTAAGTGTCTTTACATTGTCGTTCTTTAAATGTGTAAAAGGTGTGAAGGATAAGGAATACATAAGCATTTTAAAACAACAAAACCATGATATCGTATAACAAAAACAGGCTAAAATTAATCCATGCCAACTGAAACACTTTGGCAACTGGCAAACCTCACACTACTTCACTGGATTTTGAAATGAAATTTGATCTGGTTATGCGACGTGTTTCTAATTAGGGGCTGCAATACCTCCAACCTTAAAATATACATTTGGGTTTTTGGTTTACCTTTACAAAGCCCCAGACATAGAGGACCAATATGGTCAGAAAATAGCTATTCAAGAGCCTGTTTGGTGCTGTGCATTCTCTTGGAAACTCAAGTGTATGAATCCAGTTACAATTTAAAATAATTTAATCAAAGTCTAAAATTCTTATAAATAATGCCTCCTGGAAATTTTAATCTGCAGGTTTGCATTTTTAGAAACTTTAAGGATTAAAACTGATGTTGTAACAGAACCCTTTCATTTGGTTCCATTGCCATATCTGCAATGCACCAATATAGGCAAAACCTCTGAGACACAACTTCACATCAGGGCAGGGGCTGCATGCAGTCTCATCATATGATTGGTGCAGATCTGTCATTTGTGATGGTGGGTCGTAGTTTGACGGTGGCAAATGGATTCCCACTCCTGATGAGGAAAACAGACATTGTGATTGCAGAGAATGGGTTAAATGCTAGTGCACTGTAGTAATACTAATAATTAATTCTGTTAGAAGATACTCACCCAAGGAATGGCGGCACTGAGTGACCATTTGGCAAAGATGCCTGCTGCAAATACACAAATAAGAATAAAAAGTGATCAGCATAAATCGTGCTTCCATTCTTTAGAACTTAAAGCGGAGAGTGGATTTTCCCCGTCAGACTGGTTCGATTAGGATGTCAACACATAATTCTGTCCCTTCACCAGCTGACTAAGTACCTGGAACAATCGCAGTGTCCTATGACCTCATCATATGCGTCAGGAATCTTGATAATCTTGAAACGCTTGCTTTCACTGTCTTGAGTGTTGAAAATCTAATCATAACCACTTCAAATGACTATGAACTGTAAACAGTCAGGGACCATGCATGTTTCTTTATGAATAAGAGAAGGGTGTACTGGGAGTCTTCTAGAGTTAAAATCTGTCTCAGGCAGGCCTTATTTCATATTAAAGGAGTAGCTCACTCAAAAATGAACACGCTGTCATTATTTACTCACTAATGTCATTCCAAATCATTCCAAATTGTCTGAACTACAGTTCATAGTGACCACAGGCTGTCAAACACCCAATATTATCAAAAAACGAAAACAAAACTAACAAACAAAAACACCATAAAAGTAATCCATATGACTCTTTTTTTCTGAACAATGAATTATGACCACAGGCTCTCAAGCTCTAAAAAACAAAAACAAAACAAAGCAAAACAAAGCGATGCGTGGACCTTTCCGGATCCCCCCCCTCCTACTTCCCCTCCTGTCATTACTCTACTGCCCTATCAAAATAAAGGCAAAAACAAATCTAAAAAAACACACAAACATAACACAAACTATAAAAGTACACCA